TTGAAGACAAACCAGTGGCCATCTAGCTGAGAAGCAACAAAGTCCACATGGAAGAAGCACACTAGCCTGTGTGATCACAAGGTGTTGATGGGATCAGGTATCAAAGACCCAGAACAAAAAATCATATCAATGTGAGTGCGGGGGAAGGGTGCAGAGTGGAGACCCAAAGCCCATCTGTAGACAACTGGACATCCACTCACAGAAGGGTCACAAGGAAGAGACAAGCCAGTCAGGGTGCAATATAGCACCAATTAAACATACAATTTACCTCTAGTTCTTTAATGCTTCCTCCCTCACCCACTATAATGATCCCAATTCTAACTTACAAATCCGGCTAGACCAGAGCATGTACCCAGGTACAGATAAGATCTAGAAACACAGGGAATCCAGGGCATATAAACCCCTCAGGACCGATATTGAGAGTAGCGATACCAGAAGGGGAAGCTGGGGGGAGATAGGGGAAACTGATCACAATGATCAATATATAGCCCCTTTCCTGGGGGAAAGACAACAGAAAAGTGAGTGAAGGGAGACATTGGTCAATGTCTGAAATGAAAAAATAATAATGATTAATAAATTATCAAGAGTTCGTGAAGGAGGGATGGTGGGGGAAGGAGGGGAATCCATGAGGAGCTGATACCGAGTTCAAGTAGAAAGCAAATGTTTTGAGAATGATGATGGCAACAAATGTACAAATGTGCTTGATACAATGGATGGGTTTATGGATTGTGATAAGAGCTGTATGAGCCCCCAATAAAATGATTTAAAAAAAATAGCTTTAGATCAGAGTAATTGTATATTAAGAAAACATCCCAGTCCAGTCCACAACAAGTCCTTAAGTCTGTTACTAGCCCATATGTCCAATAACAATCTATAAATTCCTGTTCCGACTCTTGCAACACATGCAATGACGCCGAATGCAGGAAGAACACAGGCCAGTGGGTACAAAGTCCTGTGGATTCAGTGGTGGTAGAAGCATCTCAGTGCTGATGTGGGTCTCCACGTGGCTCCTC